GTAAGTAATTACTGCAAATTTCTAAATTTAGTTATAGTTTAGTTATTTTTATTTCTTTTTTATGTCTAGGTTTGTTCTTCATTTAGGAATCCATCAAATTCATCTCATTAATTAGATCATAAGATAATTAAGCATATATCCCTATATGCATTGCGCAAAAGAAAAAAAATAATTGAAAAGAAATATGATTATATAAAAATTGCCACGATCAGTTCAAAATCAAAACAAAAAGTAACTAAATGGTAGTAGGCTTTTTTTTTTCATAAAGAGTTTTTGGCCTAATGAAAGTAATTAAAGAATTAAAAAAAATGAATTTGAATTAGTCTGCATCCTACCCTTTAATTGAAAGAGATTTCTTAGTAAGAAAGAACGAATCTTATTTTAATCACTGCTCAACTCACCACTTCATATTGCGTCTAAGAATATTCCAAGAGAACCCAAAATTATGTTTTCTCCACCAAAATATTGGCGCATCTTGTCGTCAAGGAGCTGTTATATTTATGATTTTATGAAAAGCCCTAATAACTCTTGTAGCTTATAGGACCAAAGAGCCGATTGACCTTTTTCACAAATAAATATGAAAAGTAAAATACTACCTCCGGGCTTTAATTCTTAATATAAGACATTGTTCGACTTTTGTTTTGGTTCTAAATATAAGGCTCCAATTTATTTTGTCTCTCATATTTATATATTTTTTTTAAAGTCACATTTCTAATAATGGTAGTTCTAATTCATACACTTGATTAATAAGAATATTTCAGGAAAGACAACACTTATTTATTACAAATAACTCATTTAACTTATTTTCTTAATCTACTCAAATTAGTGAGCTAGCTCTTACATTTAGGACCTGAGGCAGTATATAACATCACTTGGATATATATCCATGCAAATCCATATAAGATATATTATTTTAATTACATTTTTGGTTTTTAATGCAGGACCTAATGTTAAGTTTATCTTGGTGTTAAATGTAAAGCCTATTCCCATATTTATTAATTTTTTTTCTTAATTACCCTTATTGATACCTCCTCAACCATAATCACGTAGGAGAGAAAGAAATGATATTAAAAAAATAATTATGGTGTTTTTAAAAAAATTATATTTTTTCTATTTAACTAACTTATCTCATTTTTTTTAATTTAATCAAATTAGTTAGATATATATTACATTAATAACTGGAGGAGTATAATAATGAAATCATGTCAAATTGAGTAGATAAAACCATATACATCACTAATAAAACATCTAATTAAATACTACCTCTTCTTGATATAAGAGTTTCTTTTACTTTTATTTTGATCTTAAATATAAGATCCAAATCTACTTTGTCACTCATGTTTATCTATTTTTTTAATATAATCATTATAATAATAATAGTTACGTTTTAGCCAATATATTTTATTAGTAAGGATTTTTTTTAAAAAAATAATACTTATTTATTATAAATAACTAACTTAGTTAATTTGTTTAATGTATTCAAATTAGTTAATTAATTCTTATATTGACAATCGTCTAATTTGCCTTTTAATGGCCCTGGAGTCTAGAAACGTGTTGACTTTTTCCTTCTTACTGCTATCATGGAAACCGTTTTTTTTCCTTCGTTTTTTTGTTTTTCCTGCCAACGTAAACATGGAAGCTTTGCGTGTTGACGTAACGCGGGATGATTTTTGGGGTTCAAGATGATTCAGCCCACGAATATGCTTCGAATTTCAACCCTTTTCTCAGGCCTTATAAAAAAAAAAAGAATTTCAACCCTTTTGACTTCATATTTAATTAGCTAGTTTCCCCACAATATTCTATTTTGCCTATATGTGTGTGTGTGTGTGTGTGACACATGCTTCGCAATGAATTTATGTTAACTAAAATTGAGTAGTCTTGGGTCGGGAAAAATAAAGCGCTGAACTTGATTTGTCAAATAATTTTATATTCTCAGATTCAAGAAATTCAAAAACTCACACAAAATACTACTTTTGGTTTTAATTATAAGAGCTAGTTGACTAATTTGAGGAGATTAAAGAAATAAGTTAAGTTAGTTATTTGTAATAAATATATATTGTCTTTTCTAAAATATTCTTACTAATCAAGTGTATTAGTTAGAACTAATATTATTAGAATGACTATATTGGAAAAAAATGTATAAATATGAGAGACAAAATAGATTAGAATATTATATTTAGGACTAAAATAAAAGCCAAACAAAATTTATAATAAGGATAGGAGGTATTATATCAAAAGCTGGTCAAATCGTACATTAATTTTGTCAAATAACGATAATGCGAAGGGTTGACATTAGTTCTTCTCTCATTAATCATATATCAGCTATAAAAAGTCAAATACATTGTTCTTAAAACACAAAAGTCAAATACATTGTTCTTAAAAAAAGGTCAAATACAAAGGATGGTTAAGTCTTTATTTAGACATGTCATAATCGAATATGCATTGATAAAAACTCATCGGACTTCATTATTCAGCGAACTTTATTAGTCAAATTTTTTTTGTCTGCTTTGGGGAAAATATCCAATAATATCGATATTTGTCCATATAAAGAATGAGGGGATTGGATTTTGTATGATGTTTGAATTAAGTTTTTATCAGAACAATGTTGAGATGAGATTTGCATTTAATGAATTTCTTTACAATGTCAACAACAAATTGGTCTTGCTAGTGAATAATGGTTTTGTTGCTCAATATGAGTGTGCCAACAAAAAATTAAAAAAACGTGGAAATAAAATAAAGCTAGTCTACAAAAGAAAATTATAAGTTATTTTTAAATAATTCACATTAATTAAAAAATAGTTTTATAAACATTTGTCTTCTTCATATCCTTAAATAAATATGCATGGTTAACCTTATTTACAAATGCCATAATCCGCTATAAATGCTACTCCTCCAATCCTTAATATAGGAACTAATTGTTGAGTTGGTTTTGGTCATAAATATGAGACACATTTCTCATATTTATTAATTTTCTCTAAATTACCCTTATGGATACTCTTTCAACCATAATCAAGTAGAAAAGGAAGAGGGGGTATTAAGAAAGATGATTATAGTATTTTAGGAAAAACGTGTCGCATTTCTTATAATTAACTAACTTACTTAATTTCTTTAATCTAATCGAATTAGTTAAATTGATCTTATATTAAAAACTGGAGGAGTATTAAACATGCCTTGTATATAGGAGTATATGTTTATGTATGTGTGTGTATATACATATAAAAAAATGTAGCCTATATTTTGCTTATCATGTTAAGATTTTACAGAGTCTTATGTTGACTACTAACACAATCATCATCCTTTATTTGAGTACACGACCTGCTATGGATTATAGTTTGAGTTAAAAAAGACAGGGAAAAGAAAAGAAAATCATAATAAACATGTAAGAGAGAGTTGTTATGGTCTCTACTAAAGAGAAAATAATAAAAAATGGTTTGAGCTGATTTGGAGGCGTTCGTTCATGGGAAGATAAATTAGAAAATATAATTAGTTGATTAATTTGAATAGATTAAATTTTTTTTTAAATTAACTGTTTGTAATAAATAATTATTATTTTTTCTAAAATACTTTGTGTAATAGTTAGAATTATCATTTGATGAAACTTTTAATATAAACAATTATTACAAGAACTACTTTGAAAAAAAATAAATAAATATGAGAGACAAAATGAATTAGAATTTTATATTTAGAACCAAATTAAATGTTAAACTAGCTCTTATATTAAAGCATGAGGTAGTATAATGCTTAATAAAATTAGTGAACATGACTTTTTAATTAACAATTTATTTAAATAATTAATTACTGATAGATTACAAAAATACTGTGAGAACAACCCTCCTTAGTGTGATGAGGTTTGTGATTTGTGGTTTGTTTTATAGTGTATATTTTGTAACGGTGGGAGTGTTTACTATTTGAGCGTGATTAGCGATTATTACTGCCGCAAGGACACTCCTAGTCTAGGCTCAAGCTTACGCTTAACAACAACGACTAAAACTGTAATTAAATTACACTTTATAAAACCTATTTATATTTTTATCTTAATTTTAAATATAAAATTTTAACTCACTTTATCTATCATATTTATTACTTCCTCCGTTCTTTATTATAAGAGACATTTGATGTTTATGGCATGTTCTTATATATAAGAGACAATTAAAAGTTGTCTCTACTTTTTTGTGTTGATTTTCTATTTTACCCATATTTATTGTCTCCAACTCACACTCTCTCTCCCTCTCACTTCTCTTTCTTTTAATAATTTAATTATTCTCTCTTATGCTCTTTCTCCTTATTAATGAGGGCATTTTTGAAAAAAAGATTATACTTTTTACATATTGATTGTTCTTAACTAATTTTAACTGTTTTTTTTATCAACGTAATTCGGTTATTCGTCTCTTGTAATAAGAAATAGAGGGAGTAGTTTTTTTTCTAAGATAGTTCTTATAATAATAACAGTTATAGTTAATACACTTGGTTAGTAAAAATATATCAGAAAAGACAACATAAATTTATTATAAATAATAATTTAATTTTTTTAATTTATTTAAATTAGTCTATTAGTTCTTATATAAAGATTAAAAGTAGCATAAGACCTAGAAGGCATGGGACGGTTTATATGACTCTACGCATCGAAGCGTTCCTCTGCTGATATTCCCAAAATCGCGTTCTTCCAGTGGAGTGTACAATCAGTAATTCTGCATTTCGACTTTGTTGGTTCTTGGCTTGGCATTTGCCTAATGAATGTAAGGAATGTGAGAGAATCCCGAGGAGAAGATTCACTTGACCACCTAAAATTTATTGTCCCACGCGCTCGCGGCTCCCGAGCTCATGTCCCTGTCCGTGGGACCCGAACTGCACTCTCCTATCAAATCCAGTTTTATATTTTTTTGAAGTCCGCAAAGGAACAACGCATACCCGGGGCGATTGAGTGGTGGGCCGGTAGCAATGGCAAATATTATATATAGATGTTTTGTTGTTGGCATTGAAGTTCAAGTCTTTTCTGGTTCTAGATTAGTGAGTGGAAAAGACAAAGCGGCATTCTCTTCTTTTTCCGCCTTTTCTTTTCTTTTTTGCTTCTTTGATTTTGGACTGTCCACTAATGAGTGCGGGAATTCACTGAGTAACTTGTACGTTTATGGACTTTCGTGTATGGTGAAGTTCTTTGGTTGTTCATGTGTGCTGGTGGGTAAGTAGTACAGACTAGTCTCAATTCAAATGTCTCTGTATTGTAGCTGAGAAAATGATACAAAAGTTTTGATCATTCTTTTTTCCTTTTGGTTTTTAACCCTTGCTCTGGCTTGACTAATCTTACTGGCTTTAGTGGGTTTTATTGTTTGGTGAGCATCCCACTCTACGATCCTAGTTTCTGCCACATTTCTTCCCTATCAGCGTCTCTGTTCAGTTGCTGGGAACATCATACAAATTTTGATTCTTGTGTTGGTTCTCTTGCCATGGCTTAATGAGCTTGGGTCTTATTTGTCGCTCTTTAAACTGCTCTCCAGTACCACTTTCCCTTCACATTTTCGTTTTCCATCTAATTCTCAGTAACCAAACCTGCTGTATAAGCTTCTGTTATCTGATTATTAGTGCTTTGATTCTTGCAGGCTCTTCCGTGGCAGTTTACTTGGAAATTGATTAAATGATAAGGAATGTGAAAGCCATTGACAGTTCTAGTCGTTAATTGATAATCACAGGACGGCTTTTTTCGTTTATTTCCTCATAATCTTGAGTTGGGGACAAGCTATGGTGGTATTTTTACTTCTTGGTGCCACAGGACCACCGATTAAAAGAAGAAAGGGTTTAAGAATCAAGCAAGCTGGTCGAGGTTCATATAGGGGAAGCTAGTTGCAGCTTTCCAGTTTCTGCCGTAATATTTTGCCTGCGAAGGTCCATCGATGGAAGCCACTTCTATGACGAAGTTGCTGAAGAGCTTTTGTGATCACTCACATTGGAATTATGCTGTATTTTGGAGGCTTAACTACCATTTTCCAATGTAAGATCTTTCAATCTATGATTATTGAGACGCTTCGTTGTGTCTCATTTGCTGTATTATTGGAAACTCAGTTGAATTCGTCTTGGAATAACATTTCCTTTTCATTTAATAAATATCTTTTAAGATGTTTATTCAATCTGAACTTTTTTTCACTTCAATTATGGTGTTGCTTCGAGGTCACTTTGTAGGACTAGTCTCTTTACATTTACTGCTTTGATGTAAGAAGCATGGACACAGACGTTGCAAAACCCATAAAACTCGAGTGTTAGCGCTTTGTAACATACAAACATTGACACGGATTATAGCTGGAGGACTGTGCTTGATAAGCTTTGATTTTATGGAGCGGAGTTCTTAGATGGCTTTTGGATCTCTCCATGGAGAAAATTAACTTGTTGGTTGTGATTTGTTGTTGCATGTGTTCAGTGAAGTTCTGGGTCATACGAGTCATCTTCAATAGATTTTTTGTTTGTGGATGCATTTTGTTGGACACAATGTAACTTGAGGTCAAAGTCCTTTTTAGTCAGATTGGAAGCTAACTGCATTAGAATTACTAGCCTGTTGTTTATCATGAATCTGATTAGGAAGCATTCATGTAATATATATTTAGCTGACTTGAGTTTTCTGCGTTACATCAAAATAATAAGCAAGGATTTTAAAGTTTTACATATGATGTCTTTGACACATCTTGTTATTGCCTAAGGACTTTGACCTGGGAAGATGGATACTATGGTGATTTGAAAACCAACGACGCTGTGGAAAGTGCGTGGACGGAGGTGGCTTCTTCAAGCTGTGAAAGTACCCATGGTTCTGAAGAGAATTCTGTTAGATTACTCATGACTGATATGTCTCGCCTGAAGTACATATTGGGAGAGGGGTAAAAGCCTATGCTTTAAATAGTAGTAATTACAAACCATGTATTTATTAATATTTTTTTTCATACTATTAAATATACATAGATATATATGCATAAAGAGAATGTCTTATCAGAAATACGACAATGTGTGTGTGTGTGTGTGTGTGTGTGGTGAAAAATTCTATGCAGATGAATCTTGGATGGAGCGAGAATTTTATGAGGTCGAATGGTTCAGCATTTTTTCTGCCTATCTGATTGAACCGGCAGGATTGACATTGTAGTTATACACATTCCATCAATATTGAAGCAATGGACTGCATGGTGCTTCCTTTTTGCATTGTAATAAAAAATATCACCTATCTAGGCTCTGTTAGGAAATAATAAGCAGCTGTAATGCATGCACTCATGTATACCAGGCAAAAAAAAAAAAAAAAAAAGGACTTGTGTTCTTTGATTGTGAAAGCATCTGGAAGCTCACATTAACCTTACTTGTGATTACTGTGTCAGGGTTATTGGCAAAGTAGCTCTTACGGGGGATCATTGTTGGATTTTAGTTGAAGATATTTTAACTGGTAAATTCCAGACTAAGTTGGTTGATGAGGTGAGATTCTGATGATATAAGTTCTATCTGAAAACTACAGAGTATTGCTATTAATTTTTTTCTTCCTTTATTGATATATATGCTTAATCTTTTCCTCCTGCAGTGTCCATATGAATGGCTTCTTCAATTTGCATCAGCTATCAAGGTTTTAATTTCCAGTCTTGATGATTTTTTTTGATTTTTTTTTTTACTTCATGCCATGATAGAAGGTCTGATTTCCAGGTCTAATGCCTGGATGAATGATTCAGCATTTCCCATGTATGCTGCTTAGTTTACTATCCTACTCTGTGGATACATAATTGCCTACTTGAAGAAACATTAATTTGCATGCCATTTTCATAACGATGTAATACCTGATAAATGACAATCCTTTTTCTCCCTTCAAATCATTTTTCAGACTATTGTACTGGTACCGGTTCCTCCACATGGAGTTTTGCAATTCGGCTCATTCGAAGCGGTGTGTATTTGTTCTATACTTTGGACCTGAATGCCAACCTAAACCAGCAGTGGGTTTTCAAATGATAGGGTGACATCATGTCAGTAGCAGCACAAATTGAATGAGAATATCTAAATTTTGTTGTTTTCCTTCTTGCTCTCTCTCTCTCTCTCTCTCTATATGTCTATATATATATATAAATCAGCATGCAAATAGGATCAAATCAGCACAACTGGTTTACGTGTCATAATCTATTAGTGCATTTCTGCATGTTTAAAAGTGTGCGATATCCATTGGCTGAAATGAGAGCATATGGGTCAAATTATGTATGCTTTATGTTGATGTCTGTTTTGCTCACGTGGATGTTTTGTTTCCTGTCAAGATTATAGGTTGCTGAGGACCTGGCATTTGCTGCCAATGTGAAGGAGAAATTCAATTTCTTTCACTGTGTAACGGCAAATACTCCGCCTTTGAGCTCAGATGAAAATATTCAGGATTGGTCATTCTCAGCTCTGATAGATTATCCTCTGGATAATTCAGATGTATCATCTGTTACAAATAATATCCTGACACATGAACTTTTTGGTGGCAATTCACTTAATATAAATGATTTGAGGTTGAATCCAACTGCCCCATCATTTATTCCGGCTGAAGGTTCCATGTCCAGAAAAAATGAGACCAGTCCTCCATCAACTGCGGTGTCAAATGACAATGGTCATGTGGAAGTCAAATCAAACCAAATGGAAGAAGTGATAACCAGTTCTCCGTGGGTCAATAATATGGGAGCATTTGGAGAGACATCTGAGGGATTATTTTCTTGTTCTCGTAAGGATATGGCCAAACAATTTGAAGGCACTGGCACTGACCATGACGATTGTAATAAGGTCAATAGTTTCTGCGGTTTTCCGTTGGATTCTGAATTACACAAAGCACTAGGACCTATTGCTAATAGACAAACTTGTGAACCTCAGTCCGAATATTCCTCTTTTAAAGATATGTGTCGTACTAGCTCCACGTTGATAGCTCGGGAAAAAGAGCATGGTCATGTGGGTTTTCAATTTTCCGACAGACACAAATCAGAATATCTTTTGGATGCAGTTGTCCGCAATTTATGCAGTGCCTCTGATGATTCTTCATCGACGTTGCCAATAGTATTAACTACTTCCATTCATCCACAAAGTCATTCTGAGGGCAGCACTTTGATGGTAAATAATGCTGATTCAAGTAGCCACCTTACGTCGGCATTTGGGGGCAACATAGATGATTGTACTGATCTTCTTACATTGGCATCTTTGGATGACAATTCAAGCATATTGCTTGATGGGGCAAAGCAAGAATCTGTTCATGTTCATAAGCAGCCTAAGAGTGGGCCAAAACTTTCTAGTATGGGCAAGAAAAGAGGCCGTGCAGGAAATATGCCAAGGCCAAGACCAAGGGACAGGCAGTTGATTATGGACCGGATGAAGGAGCTGAGGGAACTTGTCCCAGATGGTGCCAAGGTAAGTTGATGTTTCTCCAGGACCAAAGTTGAACATTTTAGAGTTCCTATGCAAACCTTTTAATTTTGTCTCTGATGTTCTTTGATTTCCAGTGTAGCATTGACAACCTCTTAGATCGGACCATAAAGCACATGCTGTACTTGAAAGAAATAACAAACCTGGCTGAGAAATTGAAACAATTTGAGCATAAGGAGGTAAAGCTGTGTCCAAATAAATTGGATTTATTTTAGCAATTAAAGACGTGTGGCCTTACCTTTCATTCCAGTCAAGCTACATATATTATCTTTAAATCAAATTCACCACTTCTGAAGAGTTGCAAACTTAACCCCTCATTATTTACTTTATCCTAGAATCTCTCTTGAAGTTGATTAAACTTCACACACGCTCCTCCAGCTTTAAATATGACAACCTCCAATTTTGCAAGGTTTTTCATAAGCGTTAAACTTGGCATTTTGTTGATTTGTGCTGCACTGAATCAGTCTCTCGTGGGAGTTCTCTAGGAGGAAAAATGCATGAATTATCCATTAACAATATTGAAACTGGGAGGATGAAGAAGCAATATAAAATCTTTTGGAAGGACTGCTTCATATATATTGGCTACTGACTCTGGACAATCTGACTTGATGTAGGTGCCAGAGTTCAAGAAGCAGAAAATCAATGGCAATTATACTGGGAGGAGCTGTGCAATTGACTTTGGCAGTGAACTCCAAGTATGCCCTATAGTTATAGAAGATCTTGAATGCCCAGGCCACATGCTTATAGAGGTACTCTTGAATCCACACATACACGCCCTTTGCACTAATTAATGACGAGTTCTCAAGTTTACCAGACCAGACAAACTTGAAGTGAATATTAAATGAATGGCTTTCCACTTATGTTGCAGGTGATATGTAGTGAGCATGGACTTTTCTTGGAGATTGCGCAAGTGATTCGACAGTTGGAGCTTACTATATTGAAAGGTGTTTTAGAAAGCAGTGCAAGCAATGCCTGGGCCCGTTTCATTGTTAAGGTATGATGCCCTGCCGAGTTTGATTAAATGTGAAATTTTTATTTGATTGTTCATAATTCACAGTTAGTCTACTTCATCTTTGTGTGATTGTTTGTGATAATGAATGGAACTTAGTTCTGAGATATGGTTCTATTTTAATGGATCAGGTTCCCAGAGGCTTTCACAGGATGGATGTTCTATGTCCTTTGCTGCATCTTTTGCAGACTGGAAGAAGCCTTGTCTCAAGTAGAATTTGATTTGTTCATCTACACACAACTGAGAACAGTCTCAAGTTTGAGATGGCAGAGATCTTGTAGCATATTGTATATATATCAACTGCTTAGTCAAGTGGGTATGATTGCGCTACTCTAATTGTTGCATAATTCTACCCAAGCACAATGGAAGTAAAAGTATAACTGGTTGAATGTGAAAAACCTTCTTGGTGACCTACGGAGGAGTCTGTGCTAAGAAACCACGTTCGTGCCCTGCATGGAGAACATATTTCGTTGATCAGGTTGAGCAGATCGTTATTGTCTACCTCGATTAATTATTAGCTTCATGAATTCTTGAAGGATCTCGATTTTATGTGGTATGATTATAATAAGGTTGGATATCTCACCATCAGGACAGTTACTTTTAGCTTCGAAGCGCCATTTATTTCCTGATTATTGGGGCTGTTTATGCGTGATTCATCTTGTTCTACCTTTCTTCCTAGGCCCTCCCAAGGTGCTAAGCCTTGATTATGTTCTTCAGCAATGTCAAAAAAGAATTTCAAATTGATAAAAATAGTCAAACCCATTGCAAGAATAATCTGCATCATCTATTCATCGTTTTGAACTTCAGGTTTTTTTTTTTTTTGTTTTTTTTTCCTGGTTTTTTAATTCGTTCAGTAATTGTAGCGCTATAATAATTAATTTTTGTTAAATGAAAGATTTAACCAGTATTTTTTACCAGTGGGTGAAATCAAATTTGGGCGAGGCGATCATCAAAAGATTGTCATATTATGAACAAACAACACAAGAAGGCCACCTTTAGTTCTTCACCAATCGACAAATGAGGAAATCTACTATGAGAAAAACTGTAATGAAATTGTTTATAATTTAATTAGGGTGAAAGTATATCCAGCATCACGAAATATTTTCTTGAGTACATCCAGCATCTTAAAGTGTTTTGTGATGTATCTAACATCCAGAAATATTTTTTTAGATGCGTCCAGTAAAATACTTTTTGGTGCATCCAGGATCTCAAAATATTTTTTTTAGATACATCCAGCAGCTAAAAACATTTTTTGGTACCAAAGCAAAAAAAAAAAACACTTCAGGATGGTGAGCACCCCTAAGAATACACCCAAAAATATAAGGGAAAATGACATTGAGGTCCCACAGAACCAAAAATACAGCAAAAAGGTCCCCTGAAATCCCATAATTTTTCTGAAGTCCCAAAGGGACTTAGATGCAATTTTCAGAATCTGGAAATTACCCTCTTGCCCTTGCTTATGAGATTCGAAAATGCTGAAAGGAGATTAGAGCCTCTGTTTTTTGTTTGACCGGAAGAAAGCTGAAACCCTGTTGTGCTTTTGTGCTGCTGGAAATCTGGTGAAAACCCATCGCGATGCTCAAATTCCCCTCACAACCCGTCGAAAATCGTGAGCCTTCGTGCTGGTTGGTGTGTGTTGTGATTTAAGTTGGGTGTGTAGAATGATAATGGGTGCTCTGTTTTTGGGTTGTTTTTGGGTGGTTTTCCTCTGTTCTGACGTTGGTTTAGTGGCAAAGGAAGAAAAAGATGAAGGTTAGTGAGGGTAGAAACCCTTAGCACGAAATGGGACTGTGTTGTCAATCAGGCCGCGATTGTTGTCAATGTGTGCCGCTACACTTGTCAATGTAGCTCTTTAAGTTGTCAATGACAGTTGCGTGCTTCTTGATGCAGGTTTAAGTTACTGATGGTTTTTCAAAGCTTTTGTTGTTGGTTTAGGATTCAGAAGTTAATGAATGGAAAAGCTGTGTTTTTGGTTGGTGTGTGTTGTGATTTAAGTTGGGTGTGTAGAATGATAATGGATGCTCTGTTTTTGGGTGGTTTTCCTCTGTTTTGACGTTAGTTTAGTGGCAAAGGAAGAAAAAGATGAAGGTTAGTGAGGCTAGAAAACCTTAGCACGAAATGGGATTGTGTTGTCAATCAGGCCGCGATTGTTGTCAATGTGTGCCGCTACACTTGTCAATGTAGCTCCTTAAGTTGTCAATGACAGTTGCGTGATTCTTGATGCAGGTTTAAGTTACTGATGGCAAGTACGTCTGAAAACATCTATTTTGCTTTGTTCACATAAGGGGAAAGTTTATAAATGATGGAGAAGATAATATGAGATATGTGGGAGGTAGTGTAAGAACAACCAATGTAAAGGAGGGCACAAGTTATGAAGAATTGAAGGAAATTATATCATCAATTGTTGAAAAAGAAAGCAACTCATTTCTTCTGAAATTCTCAGTTGTGTTTGATAAAAAAACTTTTGTGGAGTTGGTAGATGATGATGGGGTGGAACATTTGATAAAGTTCAATGAAGAAAGTGGTCATGTGTATGTCGAAGAAAATGAAAATGAGGACCACATAGAAGCAACAAGGGATAATATATACAATGGAGGAGCAAGATGTGTAAGTATAGTTGAACAAAACTGTAAATGGGTGTGAAGGGAATTTTTTGTAAATGGATACACACCAATAGTTAGTTTCTCGTAATTACATGCAACCCCTGTGTTTTTTTGGAATGGGTTGTGAAATAGGTGTAGTTTCATGTATATGAAGGTGTAAATGAAAGTTGACTATGAATTGGCATGTTAGATTCTGCTGTCATTTAAGTTGTCATACCTGCACTCTGTATTGTCATTAGACCTGTTATGACTTATCAATAGAGCACTGTCACTTGTCAATTAATTTGCTGATGTAAGTTGTCAACAATATGAATTCAAGTTACATAACTTGTTTTAGTAACATATGATATTTTCAATCACTCTGTCATATTATATTTTTGGTTATTTGTCATATATAATCATTATTAATGAAGTGTCAATGGTGGCACTGTGACTTGTCAATGGTGGCATAGTGACTTGTCAATCATGTCCTTAAGACTTGTTAATGGTGGCGCTGTGACTTGTCAATGGTGGCACTGTGACTTGTCATTGGTGGCACTGTGACTTGCCAATGGTGGCACACTGACTTGTCGTTGGTGGCACTATGACTTGTCAATGGTGGCACACGGACTTGTCATTGGTGGCAATTTGACTTGTCAATGATGGCACACGGACTTGTCATTGGTGGCAATGTGACTTGTCAATGGTGGCACTGTGACTTGCCAATGGTGGCATACTGAGTGGATTTTGAGCACCACGGTGGATTGTTAAAGTTACAAAAATGAGGTTGAATAGTTGATATGTCTTGCTTGGAGTTCAAAGTATTCGTGAAGATTGTATGCTCTGTAGTGGTTACTATATTCCTTTGTGGGGATTTCTATTTCCATATTGATGATTGCGTCTGAAAAAGAGGACGAATAAAGGGCACTTCAATCCCAAACACTTTATGGCAACACAGACTGTGTGTATTTATTTGCTGCTGTTATACTTGTCAATGACTACTCTTATAGTTGTCACTAGCAGCCTGCGTAGTTGTCACTGCATGCTCTGTTAGTTGTCACTGGATGCGGTGTTAGTTGTCATCACATGCTCTGTTAGTTGTCAGTGGATGCTTAGTTGACTAGATGCTGTGTTAGTTGTCACTACATGCTATGTTAGTTGTCACTGCATGCTCTGTTAGTTGTCACTGCATGCTCTGTTACTTGTCACTGGATGCTGTTACTTCACACTGGATGCTCTGTCATTTCTCACTGGATGCTCTGTCATTTCTCAGTGGATGCTCTGTTAGTTGTTAGTGGATGCTGTTTTTTGTTACTGGATGCTCTGTCCCTTGTCACTGGATGCTATGTTACTTGTCACAATATGCTCTGTCCCTTGTCACTGGATGCTGTGTTGTTAGTAAAACCTTTTGATTATGTGTTTTTTTTTTGCAGATGAACTGTTTCCATACGATGTTGCGTGCTGTTAAGCCAGAGTTGTTTGCCAATGAGGACAAAATTGGCAACGAAGTGAAATGGGCTAAAGTTTATGTGCAGAATGATACGTGAGTGTAGTTGTTCTGTTTGATTGTGTTATGTTGTGTTTGTTCACAATAAAAATTGCATGCTGCTTACATATTGAATTTGCTTGGCAGTGATTCATGTGGAGTTCATGTCCTCTCTTGGCTACAAGAGTGGGATGGCACTGTTCGTGATGCTGCAGGATATACCATGCCACGATACTCCAATGATGAATTGCAAGAGTTGAAGGTTGGCTGTTTGTGGTGGTTGGTTACCCATCCACAAAATGAACATAGGGATGAAGTGATGTCAATGCTATTGGACTTCAACAAGAGCAAGAGGAGGAGATAGAGGAGTCCATTAATTTTTTGTTCTGTTATGCCAGGATGTGTTATGAGATGATTGGCACCTAAGGGTGTGAGCCATGAGGGCAATAGCTTAATGGTCAATAGGTCCTTTTGTAACAAACTGATCAAATTATGTTTATAATATTATTATCTTTGTTATCAGATGTTATGATACCAATTTCTTGGGGACAACTCACATTTTTATTTTTGTTGTTTTATATCTTTATTGATATCGACAAATTTATGTAATATTAATAAGTAATATAACATGAGTTAATGACAAGTGATATAACAAATGAATATGTGGATATTAACAATTGATATTCAAAATTTTTACAACTGAAGGTGTTATTTATTTGTAATGTTAAGTAATATTTATATTAAAATATAATTAATCAGAAGGTGTTACTCAGAGTTATGTTCAATTAACAAGTCACTCTGCTCTATTGGTAAGTCACAGTGCTACCAGTGACAAGTCACAGTGCTCTATTGGCAAGTCACAGTGCCACCATTGATAAGTCACGGTGCGACGATTGACAAGTCAAATTGCCACCAATGACAAGTCCGTGTGCCACCATTGACAAGTCATAGTGCCACCAACGACAAGTCAGTGTGCCACCATTGGCAAGTCACAGTGCCACCAACGACAAGTCACAGTGCCACCATTGACAAGTCACAGCGCCACCATTAACAAGTCTTAAGGACATGATTGACAAGTCACTATGCCACCATTGACAAGTCACAGTGCCACCATTGACACTTCATTAATAATGATTATATATGACAAATAACCAAAAATATAATATGACAGAGTGATTGAAAATATCATATGTTACTAAAACAAGTTATGTAACTTGAATTCATATTGTTGACAACTTACATCAGCAAATTAATTGACAAGTGACAGTGCTCTATTGATAAGTCATAACAGGTCTAATGA